TACCAATACTATTAAACGTTGAATTATTAGCTACTGCTCTATGTATTGTTATCCCGTTAGTGTCGTTTAATTGTAAAGCGATAATAGCGGTTGTCGGGTCTGCTTCTATATTTGGTTGTAATGAAAACTAATTTCATTTGATGTAACAATATTTAGTGATTTATTAGGGTCTGCTCTATGATACATTTTCATATCCGTGTTTAAATAATATGCTCCATACGCTCCTGACGGTGTCCAAGAACAAGTAGAAGCATTGAATATGACGGCTCTTGCTGTTCCTCCTACATCTAAATAATATGATATATTAGGCGCTACTCCAATTCCGACTCTCGCACTTGGGCCACCTATTCTTACTTCACCCTCTGTTGTATTTTGTAATTCCATAACTGTCCCCGCTCCACCTGTTGTTACGCATGATAATTTCTTGTTTCTAAGTTCCCAGAAACCTTGATTATCTGTAACTCTTAAAGTGTATTGTGTATCACCTGAACTTCTGTGAATATCCATGCCTGATGTCGGAACTTGTATATCTCCTGCTGATGATGTTAAATTTAAATTACCTAAGATTTGTAAATCTGTTGCTACTCGTGCTTCATTAAAATTAGATACTAACTTGAATTATATTGAACACCTATACCTACCTGTGCGTTTGTTTGACTTCCTATTCTTAAACGGTAGTCTCCTCCTGTATCGTGCAATATCATTTCTGTTCCATTCGCTGGGTTACTTGGGTTCATACATCTAAAATTTCTGTTTCTGAATTCCCACACTCCCTGTGTGTCTCTAACACGAAGTGTATAGTTAGCATCACCATTATTTCTAATAATATCACTACCTGTATCTGGATCTGTAATATCACCCACTTGTAAATTTGATATTTTAACAGGTTCTAACACTGTGCGACGGGTTTAAATCTAATACTGTTAAGGCATCGTCGCTAAGGTGTGTTGCTGAGGCACCACAGACAGTATCTGTACCTGAGGTCCCTGTCACGACTCGTTCTTGCGTTCCTTGGAGGAGGAGAGTGGATGAGAAGAAAATCGGTCGCATCCTTGCACAAGTCCTCGTAGCGGTCCCAGTCGACATGGTTCCAATCTACACCGCAATACTCCGATAGCCGGCTGACATAGTTCACCCGCATGGTGTCGTGAGGCCCGTCTGGCATTTCGCATAGTAGATGCAGTAGCCCTTCGAGACTTCGATAAGACTCCATAGTCTTTGCCACTGGCGTCAATGGTCGTTGCCAATCCACACAGATTTCGTCCTCGAGCTCATAGTCAAGGATCTTCTCCACTTGGTCAATGATTTTTCTTCGATCGGAATCTGGTACACAAAGCCAAACTTCCTTCACCAAGTGAAATGGTATGGGCCTGTCACACATGATGACACCACTTTTGGTCAATTTGCCTCCTGCTCTGACAAGGTCAACGATCGGAACATACAGTGTTACCACCGGTAGCCACTGATCCACGCCGGACTTGCTGCGTGTGACTCTATTCCTTTGATCCCAAGGCGGAAACATTCCCCAATAGCTGTGCAACCTTCCGGACGAGCCGTGGTTCCCCATGAGATCCCTACCGGCTTTGATGCCCTCAGTCATGATGGATTGAAGATTGTAATACTCGGTGGCATGGTACGCACCTTGAAGTTGATTCAAGAACGAAAGTGATGCCGACAATGCAAACTTTGAGGGGTCGAGTTCCATGATGGTAGATCTGGATTCGGAGTGTCTCGACGACGCTCTAATAGCCCAAGGTTTGATCCAATAATCATTCTGCTCCAGCACGTCCTGACCCACATGTTGAGTTTCGTGGCTACGGCGAAGCTCTTGGAGTTGAACGTCAGGTACCACCATCCTGTGATCGAAAGGTCGTGCCCCAGCTGCAACGTCGTCCATGTTTGTTGGAGTCGCAACCCTGATGCCAAGGAATTGTAGACGGATCTTTCCATCTTCTCGAAAGTTGATGTAGTTGCCGTCAATCAGGAGCTGCAATCTTCGTTGCAGTTCCCTGTTGTAGTCAGTGTTGCTGCGTGTCGAGAGAGGATAACCGATCTCTCGGGTATGATGTCTCCACAGAAGTTCGTTGGACAATAGTTAGTCCAATCGTACCCACCCACCTTCATCGCATCGTGTAGTGTGAGTAGGCGATCCTGCCAACTTGACGGCGCCATCTCGTCTTCCGATGTGATGTCTGAGGTCCTTCTGGAGAAATCGTAGGGCTTGTTTGGCTGCTTGCTTCTGATAAAATGTGTACTCAACCATCGGCCTCGCTCTGAGTACGTTAGTTCTCCCATGCAGGATGGGCAAATTGTGCCCCCTTCGTAGGAATCTTTTCTAGAATGCCACCGTACACGTTGTCTGCAATGCAAACATATCCAGGATTCTCATATCCAGATTGAGATCGATCTTCATGACGTCTGTAGATTCGTCGATCACCTCGTCGTCGCAAAGAGATATCCCTTGGGGACGTGCTTGTCTGAATGCATTCGATGATTGCGTCGTGACTTTCCAAGCCGATTTCAGCAATGTCCTCGTTGTTGTAATCCCCCCTTCTGCGCCTGACAGCATCAGAAAGGTTCATGCCTCTGTCGTACCTCACGATGAACATCCCTTCCGGCGGATGTACAACTTGTTCCCGTGGCCTGGCTTTAGCTTTTGGTCTTCTGCCAGATGAGGCGACACTTTCGACGTCCATGTCGTCGTTGGATCCTGTCGCTCTCTCTCCACGTTGTTGTCGAGGAGCTGGCAAAGAACCGGCCAATGGTAATACATCTGGGTGAGATTCAATGGCTTTCTTCATGATGTCGACGGCCACTGTAATCTGCTCTCCCATCCTGCATCAGAAGCCTTGGAAGACAACGGCATGCTCGACGATTGTTGCGATGTCATGTGAGCTTGTCGTCGGGCTGCTTCAATCTCCTGTTTCCATGCTTGCTGGCTGCGAGCTTGGAATTCTTCTTGCTGTTTGAGTCGTTGACGAATTTCACCCAGTTCACCATGAAGAGCAGGAAGCAGCATGTCGCGTGCCTGCAAGGCTGCAGCTTCAGCTTGTCGCAATCTCGACATGGTTTCTGACCGAGCAAATTCTTCTTGATCCAGCCGATTTCGGAGATCTTGAGCACCAGACTCCATGTCCGACACCCTTTTGCTTGCTTCCTCCCGTAGCGCATTTTCCTCGCTCTTCATCAAGCCCATCTGTTCCTTCATGACTGCCACAGCAAAGAAATTCTGCGATGCTTCCGTCCTGAATTGTAGGTTTTCATGAGCTTTCTGATTGAGTTCATCCACGAGCCTCTGGTACTCCATCGCCAATTGTTGACCTTCTCCTTGTGCCTGTTGCTCGAAGCTTGAAAACACTCGGGCGGCGTCATTCCGAAGCTGGCCCAATTCTTGGTGCAGAGATGTAGCCAATTCTTCATCGCGTAGATGTTGGACATGGCTCGCTTCCTCAATCCTTTCAATACTGCGTACATGATCCTCAAGCGAACTCTGATGTGCTCGATTCACGTGTTCCACAGCAGAACGTAGCATATCGCGTTGACGTTCAAGTTCCTCAATCCTCATCGTAGACCCTTGATCTTCTTGTGCCATCTCATTCAGTTTGGCAACCAAACTCATCGCAATTTCTTCATGATGTCGGATGTCTTCCCGATGGGACGCTTTCATCCTCTCTTCGGCATGCATCATTTGCTCTATAAGTTGATGGTTCGTCGACTGAGAGTGGCCGACCAAGTTCAAGACAGGAAGATTGCTGCGACGTCCTCTTTGACCTTGAACTCGTATTGCCCTTTCCAACGCCGCATCGGCCGTGTCTGCAGCATTGAGGTCCGACCTCTCTGCGACATGGGTGTAAGCTCGGGCGATCGCTTCGCAGCAGGAGAGGGTGACGATTGCTTGCCCATTAAGGCCTTTCGCGACGTACTCCTCGACGAAGATCTTGACTTCGGTTGTTCTGGACTCGTTGGTTCACGATCTTTCATTCTTTTGATGGTTTGCCGACGTTGGATCACTGATTTCGACGGTCTTTTGTCACTTGCCTTGGCACCGTGACTATTAGACAACGATCGCATTTGCGAGCTTGTCTTTGGTAAAGAACTTGCCCTTGGTCTCGACGATGATGGTGATGCTTGTTGCTTCGGCTTCTTTTCTTCTTCCGTGGTTGCAGAATCAACAGATATGGTCTGTGCTTCTTCGGCAGTACACTCACCTGCTGCTGTTACTGCCACTTCGCCACCAAAGGTCATGGTTGTGTCTGCACTCGATCCTGATGTCATCATTGATGTGCGTCACAGTGTCAAACTCGTTGGTAGGCAGAGCCTACGGCTGATAACCTGCGTGAGGGTCTGGTACACGATATTGCGTATATCCTTGCTCCCCTCCGATGAGCGTGAAGTAGTTACGATTGTCGTTGTGCTTCCAATGAATGTGACAGTAGACCTCTGCAGGCAAACTCGGTCAACTCCTTTTCCACTTCGGGCGTGAGTCCGATGTTGTCTGTGCAAGAAGGCAGTGCGCACTGGGCTATGGCACACGGATCGCTGGCTAGTGCTGAATCACTTATTGGCTTGAGCCAAACACCGATTTGTTGAGCTGAAGATAGGCTGGTTCATGGTGTCCGAAGACTCCCATGACCTGAGCCTAGCCTGGTGGATGTAATCCTCCCAAGCTTTGGAACAAACATGGTAACATAGCTCACTGCAGAATTGCACTAGGCTTCGATATCTCTTCGCAGTTGGTGAGATGTAGGGGTATAGGAATAATCCTCTTATATGGATGGGGTAATCGGTTATTCCTATACTGGTCTTGGTAATGGGGTACTAGTGGCGATATAGTTGGTGAGGTGTAGGGGGGAGTA